TTCTTTTGGTGAAAACAGTCCATAAATGAGGACTCCAATGATTGACATCCTCATCAAATAGGGTAACTTTCAGCAGCATATGCCGGATCTTCTATAGTTTTGTGATGGAGCCTGCTGGCACCTATCCCATGATATAGAACTACTTCTGGTGGGGCTCATTGCAAAACTAGAAAGGATCCAGTGTATGCCACACATGGCAGTGCCTGGCCAGAAGCTTGGGGAAACCATTGCACCATGCCCCACATCGCCCAGCTTCCTTTCTGCCTCATCCCACAGAGAGAAGTGTCCACCACTCTGCCCCCCCCACCTGTTGAGTCCAATTGAACATGGGAAGCCTCCACTGTTTCCCCCGTGGGATGAAATAGGGGGGAATCCAGACAATGTGGGGCATGGTTGACAGGTTTCTTCCACTGGCCACCACCGGATACACCACGTTGTGAGGTGATTCCATATGATGAGGCCATTAGTTGCACATCAGATGAGATCTAACAAAAGTATCAGTAACCCACATGAAAATATCTCCAAAAGTAATACTTGCTACGGAAGTATTAAAACCCCAATAGCAAACTGGAATACTAGTTATTAGTATATTTATTTATTTACCTTATTTATATCCCACCTTTCTCTACCCCAAAAGGGACTCAAGGCAGCTTACAAGTGGCACCTACACAGTGCCTCAAAACATACAATATTCACTTTAAAATAACTTAGATTAAAATTACTGACATAATAAATGTAATTAAAATACATTCAGTGTTAAAACACGTCATCCGAGGATCAAAGTCTAAGGCCATTCCATAGTCAATTGCACATATTCCATATTAAAATTACTGCACTGTCCTATTTTTCAAAAACCAGAGCCAGGGTTTCACTTCCTTCTGAGGCTAGGAGGGTGTATTTTCTTGCTGCGGTTGCAGTCATCCCTTTTCATGACTCTTTGGAGGAATGTGAGATATGTTCAGATCACATTAATCCAGGGGAAATTACCTCCAGAGATGATGTGTTTATAGACAATCAGATCTGCTGGCAAATAAATCCCTGCAGCACATGAAGAGTCGGGGTAGAAAGGCTACCCGCAGGAATTCCTTATGCAATTGTCAAGACTGCTTAAGACTCATAGACTACCAAGGATAAAGATGGATTGCTGTTAAGACAACATCTTTTGGATGGTGACTGAACAGCAGCAATTTGTCCTATACCTTCAGAAAATGTTTAACTGTTTTTTACATTTAAAAAAAATTAATTTTTTTAAAATTTGTTTTGTAGTTTTAGCTGCATGGTTATACGTCTTACACATTTTATTACACCTTTTATTACATATTATATAACACCTTTTAATGATTTTTACACCATAATTTTAAGGCATTTAAGCCTAGAAAAGTGGTTCAGAAATAGTTTATCCAATTAATATTTCATTAGAAAACTGTAAGGAGTCTCAAGAACATGAGGGAAATAAGATGTCTAAAAAGACAAGGCAGAATGAGAAAAAAAAGTTGTACATGTAAGTTTTCTTTACTTGGTATAATACAAATATTGGATCTGTAAAACAAAACTGTTGTCCTACTGTTTCAGCTACTTATAAAACATCCCAGTTTCTTTCTCTTCCTTAGCTTACTTCAATTACTGCAAACTGAATTCATGGTTCAAGAGGAAATTTCACAGTTAACTCAGGGTCCTTCTATGCAGCCATATAAGATCCACATTATCTGCTTTGAACTGCATTATATGACAGTGTAGACTAAGATAATTCAGTTCAAAGCAGATAGTGTGGATTTTCTACTTTTATAACCTGGATTTTCTGGCACTGTAGAAGGGTTCCCAGTAGGAAAAAGATGAGAGGATAGAGTAAAATCTTACCCTTTCCAGTATTTTCTGGGAAAAGCAAACTGCTGAAGCATCTCCTAGTTTGTGTGTTCTTCATCAATAATGTTCGCCATCTTCATGTTGCAATACTACATGTACCTCAGTTTTCATCTATGAAATGTAGGAAGGTGTGACATTCTAGATCCCAAAATTAATTGTCAAAAGTTCTGGGAGAAATAGTTTTTTATCTTCTCAGAGTCTTTCCTTCCTGTCAAAGAGGCCATCACAACATTCTTCACTATTGGCTCTGCTAGCTAAAACTGTTAGGAATTGCAACTGAACTATGCCTGGAGGCCTATATGAGCTCCTCCCTGATTTAGGTATAGATAAGATCTTTATGCATAACTATGGGAGTCCTCTCTACCTAGCAAAGACATTTCATTTCTGTATTTTTCCCCCTTTACATGTTTTGTTGTTGCAAGGAGAGCTGGAAAACTTTAGTAGCTGTAAGCTGTTGTAAGACTATAAGAGGCATGTGAAGCAAATTACATCTTAGATGGAAAGGATCCTCCCTCCACAAAATGATGCACCTGGCATTCCTCATTTAATCCAGTAAAATTAGCAAAAGATTAACAAGGCAAATGAGTCTTGTTTAATAAGGTCCCACACACAGTGCTAAGCAAAAAGCTGACCTCATTATTTATAGCTTGTACATACTTTTGAAATGAAAGAGAGTTGATTGGAGAAAGGTGGGAACTGCCAAGAGATCTTCCTGTTGGTGACCCACAGTCATAGACTTGGTGTCTCCAGATCACCCTGAGATGTGAACTTTGAAAGTAGCAACCAACACATCCCTATATCCCAGAATTTCAAGGCTGAAAATCCCACAACATCTGCTTTGAACTGGGTTATCTGAGGACCCGTCCAGACAGAGCCTTTATTGCGGGAACACCCGCAATAAAGGAGGGGCTGTCCAGACATAGTTCTGGACAGTCCCAAATTAATTTGCTACAAACCAGGAAAACCGGAATTAATTTGAAAGTGGATTTATTCTACAGTCCAGATACCATTCCCACAGTTTACTGGGCTAAATAAGCCTGGTAAATTGTAGGAGTGCCCACCCCTCCCCCTAAGCCCCCAGACTGTTTTGAAAAGTAAAAAACAAACAAACAAAAAACTTACCAGGCCTGCAGTATACCCTTGGAGCAGCTCTTCTGGCACATACAAATGATGTGCCAGGAGAGCATGGGGCAGGGGCAGGATGAAAATCGCTTCCGCCCTCGCTCTCCTGCCGCATCATTTGTACGTGCCAGGAGAGCTGCTCCGAGGGTATACTGCAGGCCTGGTAAGTTATTTTGACTTTTCTAAGAGGTCCGGAGGCTTGGAAGGAGGGTGATAGGGCCCTGGACGTTCTCTCGGGCTAGTCCCAAGAGAACATCTGGACAACCCACCCCAGAAAGTGTGCATTTTCTGGGGTGGGCATTGACAGGCCCCCAGAAACATCCATGTTATTTTAACGCCAATGCTTCTGGAATAAAGGCCTGTCTGGATCTGGCCTGAGTCCACACTCAGATAATGTGAAATTTTCTGCCTTGATATTTGGTGATATAGGGCTGTGTGGAAGGGCACCAAGAGGGTGCCTTTTCTCACAATTCTCCTTCTGTTGTCTCACATGACAAAACAGCAAGCTTCTTCAGCAAAAATATTTATTAAACCTTGTGCAAGACACATGATACTATATGTTCTCCCAAGTAATTGCACACAGATCATGTAAACACAATCATTTCTCTTCAGTAGGCAGGACAGGCAACCATAACTTAGAAAAGTTGCTTTTTGGACTCACTCAAAACCTAATTCATTTAAAATGAGTTCAAACTTATGCTGGCAGGATGATTCTGGCATTTCTAAAGTGGGTTTTGAAGTTTGGGAAGAGGTTGTGGATTGTAGGAGCTTCAGATTAATGTTTAAAAAGCCGATGTGATTCTAAGTTGCATCAATAGCAAAATAATGTTTAGATCAAGGGAAGTAAAAGTTCCACTTTATTCTGTTCACTGTGTCCATTATGGGGCACCACAATCCAAGAATATTGGCAAACTTGAATGTATTCAGAAAAGAGCGATCAAAATGGTCAAAAATCTGGAAGCCCAGCCTTATGATGAGCAGCTTAGGGAGATGCACATGGTTAGCTTGGAGATGATTGAAAGGAAACATGATAGCCATGTTCAAATATCTGAAAGGATGTCATATTCAGAAGGGGACAAATTTGTTTTCTTCTTCTCTAGAGACTAGGACATGGAGCAATGGATTCAAACAGGAAAAGAGATTCCACCTAAACATTAACAATTCCTGATGGTAAGAGCTATTTGGCAGTGGAATATCCTCCCTTGGAGTGTGGTGGAATCTCCTTTTTTGGAAGTTTGTAAGCAGAGGTTGAATGGCCATGTGTTGGGGATGCTTTGATCATGTGTTCTTGTATGGTGGGGGTTGGACTGGATGACCCTTGTGGTCTCTTCCAACTCTATGATTCTATTTGTATCAGCACCTCTCAAATTATCTTGCGTGATAGACTGGCAACTCTCCCTCACCCTCCCCAGTGTGTCAAGAACTGGTGTCATATTGGTACTATGTCATAGAACCAGCAGCTGATGCCTTATAGGCAGATGCCAGTCCGCAAACTACCACTTTCAGTAACTACTTTACATCATTTTGTGATTGAGTGCTGCTTTCTTGACAATGAGCTACTGCTGATGTAGGGTTGCTTGCCTATCTTGAGTCACGAAGGCATAAAAGTCCAGTCTGCAAAACACTGTCTTGTGTGCTGTGAGGGAAAGGGTGGTGAAATGATGAAACCCAGGAAAAGCAAAATGCAAAGAATCTTTCTGGAGCCATTTTAGCTCAAGCCTTTAATTGTCCTATGGAAAACAGACTGAATTAAGTAATGCAACGTTGAGAAAGCTTGCAAGCCAAGCGACATTTTAAAAATTTAGATTACTTCATTGACATAAGACTAGCTCTCTTGGATGCATTTTTGTCTACATGTTTGGGGATGGAGGCGGAGAAGGTAAAACCAAACATGTTTAACATTTATGACTTCCAAATAAACCAGTCCCATAGGTTATTCTGATCATTATCTTTGAGCCAAGCCCAGAACTTTAGAAGTATAAAAAGAGTAATGTCTGAGACACATTGAAAGGGCTCTACTCTCTGCCTGTTTGCCTGTCCATCTCTTTGGGACATCTCTAGGTTTTCTTCAGCAACCTCGGTTCTGTCTCACCACAAGCGACCATGAGCCAACCGTGTGTCAGCTCGGGATCTTTGAGTGGAAAGCGGTGTGTCACATCTGCTTCAACTATCAGCCGTGGATATAGGGGGGCTAACAGTTTGTCTTCTATCTGCTACACCGGAGCAGGCAGATGTGGTGGCTATAGCAACATCAGCCACTACAACATTGGCCGTAGCAGGAGACTTTCAGGAGGAAGTTCTGGTGGAAATGGAGGAAGTTCTGGTGTATACAGTGCAGGTTTCAGGGATTTTACTAGCCTGGGCTATAGTGCTGGGCCCTTTGGTTATGGTGGTGGTGTTGCGAAGCCTGGGAACTTTAGTAGTTACAGCTTAGGGGCTTATAGCCCAGGTGAAGGATTCAGCAGCCACAGCCTTGAAGGCTATGGCACTAACTACAGTAGTGGCTACAGAAGTAACAGCTTCAGCAGCCGAAGCCTTGGTGCTGGTCACAACAAAAGCTATGGGACCACAGGTTTCAGTAGTCGAAGTCTTGGTGGTGGTGTCTTTGGCAGCAGAGGTCTTATTGCTGGTGGTCTTTTTTGTAGTAGTTTGGGCTCTGATGCCATTAGCCGCCATGGTGATGGAAGGGGGATCCATGCAGTGAGAGTCAATGCAAAGCTATTGAGGCCTCTTTGTATCAAAGTAGATCCAGAGATCTCTCGTGTGAAAGAGGAAGAACGAGAGCAAATCAAAACCCTCAATGACCAGTTTGCATGCTTCATTGATAAGGTAAGCTTTGTCATCTGTTGTATTATATTATAAATAGTCTTCTAAAAGGACCTCATAAGATAGGGGAATTTAGCATCCTAGGGTGCTTTCACCCCATCTAATGGCTGGAGCACCATGCTAGCAATCACACAATGTCATGTGACATCCAGTGGAGGCCGTGCCCCCAACCATGGTGAAAGCATTGCTGGACATTTTCCCCACAACACTGGAGGCTTCATGTGTTGTGCTGGCTCCAATGGAACCAGCATGGGTCCTCTCCAGGAGAATGATGCTTCCCCCATGTGATGGCAGAAGTAACACCACAGAGGAGAGCACACAGGGTGAGAGAGTCGCCCTTCACATGGGAGAGGGGGGGTCACCCTGTGTGATAAGGTGGTAACACAGCCCAATAACAAAAAATGTAGGTATCTTGGTTTTGGGGGTCTAATTGAGAAATTTGCATTGGATAGACCACATCATCTCTAATTTCTTAGATGTGGTTATCATGGTTTTCTATGGGTGAGCACATGGCAACTGGTATACGGTATATGTTCTGTATCTCAAAAATGAATGCTGATAAATGATAACTGGTGGGATTTTTGGAAGCAGTAGCTCAAATACACCCAGAAATAGGTCTAACATTTGAGGCACCAAAATGTGTGTTGGCCAGTGTAATGGACAAAGCAACATCACAGTTGTCAAAGAGCCCACAATAATCTTTTGTACTAGACTTGAATGGGGAAATGGAACAAAGCAATACCATATTCTGCGATTGTGATTAAATTGATCCCTGCCTTTTTGTCTTGTCTCACTGTTCTTTTGCTCGCCTTACTAAAATCTTACTCTGTTGATCAATTAAACATTTTTGTCTATTTAATGTAAGAAATTGCACATTAATAAAAACACAGCATTTTAAAAACAATGCAAAGTAACAGCAATAGAAAAACCAGAATAAAAAGATACATATACATATAAAAACAAACTACTTTGTAAATTAAAACATTAAAAAGCATTCTAAACTACAAACATACTCTTATAATATGAGAGATACCTCCAAGGAATATCAAGCAAAAATATAAGGTTTGCTATTGCAAGATATAGTAAAAAAAATTCAGCCCTCTTCTGATAGTCTTCATTGTAGTGAGTTCTTTACATTTTCAACCAGTCTGAAGAGAGAGGCACCATATATGTAACTAAATAATTCCAGATGAGCAAATGGATGCCCATTAGTGTCCTCTTTTCACCACTCTTTGCCTGCTGATTATTGGAGCTACGCTGGCCTATAGCATGGAGGCAGGAAGGCATATGTGCTCTGTTTCATCCTGCACTTTTCCTAACTTTATTCATATTCAGATAATTCAGTACAGGATCCCAAGTGTATAACTGGTAAATCTAGCAGTGAAATGGAATCTGGCTGTGATCCTTCCTTACTATGCACTAAGCATTGCTTAAACAAGACAGTGGGGTTCCATGCAGAATAGATATGCATGGATGGAATATACATCTTGCTCTCCGGACTGTTTTATTTTTACAGTTTTACTGTTTTTCAAAAAATGAATTCAAGGACTGAATATTTCCCCATTTGCTCAAATAGGCACAATTAAAACTTTATTTATGGTTTGTGTTAAGAGACTATAATCTTGACACCTGTTATAATTTCAGGTGAGACACTTAGAACAACAGAATAAACTTCTGGAAACCAAATGGAGCTGTCTGCAGCAACAGGAACCCATGGACAAGCAAAATGCTGAACATCTGTATCAGAACTATGTTGCAACTCTGAAGAAGCAGCTGGACCTTTTGCTGGATGAACGGGAGCAGCTGAAACTAGAACAAGTTAAATTCCAAGATGTGGTTGAAGAATATAAATCCAGGTAAATGAATTTTTAGGTCTTCTAAAGCTTATTTGGGGCATTGATTCAGAAAACTGCATTGGATAGACGGCATCAACACTAGTTTCTTAGATATGGTTGTCATGGTTTTTAACGGGTGAACAGATAGACTGCTCGGAAGCTTCAAATGGTCCAACGATAGGCAGCCAGGTTGCTAACAGGAGCGGCACTCAGGGAGCATACAACTCCTCTGTTGTGCCAGCTCCACTGGCTGCCAATTTGCTACCGGGCACAATTCAAAGTGCTGGCTTTGGACTTTAAAGCCCTAAACGGTTCTATTTGTCCGACCTATCTGTCCGAACGCATCTCCTCCTATGAACCAGTTAGGACGTTAAGATCATCTGGGGAGGCCCTGCTCTTGGTCCCGCTGGCTTCACAAGCACGCCTGGCGGGGACGAGAGACAGGGCCTTCTCAGTAGTGGCCCCTCAGCTGTGGAACGCTCTTYCTACAGACATTAGATTGGCCCCCTCCTTACTGGCATTCCGGAAGAGTGTGAAGACCTGGCTTTTCAAACAGGCTTTCAACTAAGCAGTACAATTGAGTGATTATTGGAATGGAATAATGGACAACGAGATCGGATGCTGATTCTATTGATGAGACGTGATGGAKTGTTATATTGCTGTACTGTTKTATTGACTSTGGTRTTAATTAATYGATATTACTGTTTTAATTGATTACTGATTTTGTATTGTCTTGTTGAAACTGGTTGTTAACCGCTCTGAGTTGCCTGAGGGCTGAGAAGAGCGGTATATAAATGAAGCAAATAAATAAATAAATAAAATAGTGACTGGTAGATAGCACATGTTCAGTATTTCAAAACTACAGCTGATAGGGGAAAACCAGTGCCATTTTTGGAATCAGCCACTCAAATATACCCAGAACAAGGCTAACATTTGAGGCACCAAAATGTGTGTTGGCCAGTGTTATCATTCAACCATCCTTTAATATGAATACATTAAATATGAAGAAATCTACAATTGCAATATGTACTTAAAATACCAATGGGCTCAAGGAGACTTACTTCAAAGTAACCATTTTTCAGGTAGATTGTAAGCAGCCTATAAAATTCCTAGGTGAGATCAATAAGCTGTCTTAATATTTCTCAGTGCTTGATCTTTTAGTAAACATCTGATTAATAATGCCTAGGGAGGCTCAACTTTTTGGAATTCTTAGGAGTCCTGTTTTGTTAGATCATGGAATGGGTGGGGGCTTAGTCAATCCAGCCTAACCTAGTCAAGCCACTGCCACACACACACATGCACACGCACACGCACACAAACACAAACTTATTTTAGGGTCTGTAGCTCCACCAGTAACTAATTCTGTGATACATTGCAACATAGTTGACTTTAAGCAGTGCAAGTCAAGTTCTCAGACTTCTTAGTATCTCCATTTTTCCACTGCAAGGTACGAAGGAGTAATCAATCGACGTCTGGGTGCAGAAAACGAATTTGTGGTGTTAAAGAAGGTCAGTAATCCTTGACTAGTGAGGACATAAATGTTCAGTAACTGAGGGGTTTAGACATAACTTGTCATCAAAGTCCTACATGTGTTTGATAGGCTTTCTAGGGATGATATTCGGGAGAAAAATACTAGACCAGATGGAAATTCTGCCTCACCCAGGAAGGTTCTATTTCAGCTCCCATTCAATCAGAAGAAAAGCTGTTTATGTTCACCACACAATGAGGTTAAAAAGAGTGATGTTTCAGATTTTGCTGAACTGGAGCTCTCTTCATTCTTCAACGTTAGCTATGCCAGCAAGCGTTAATGGGAAATGCAGTTCAACAAATAACTGGAGTGGCAAGTCATGTTTCACAATGACGTAAGCCACTCTGAACATTTTCTTGCAAAGTAGGATATGCATGTATATCATAAATTACATAGGCAATTTTTACATTTCCTTTTTTTCAATAGATTTTTAATGTAAATTGCATTTCCCAATGTAGAAAAACTAATTTTAATCAGATGTCAATTATAATTGAGATAAATTGGATACACATTGTCAAATCTAAAGAATATAGCACACATTTTGATGGAAGTTACCATAAGGAAACACATCAAGAATTACATCACATGTGAGAAAAATACCTACATAGAAATCACCAGTCACCAGGCATATATTCTGCTTGAATATTCTGGTGGTTAATTTGTATAATTGTGTCTCCATTTAAACAATTAGAATTCCAGTGAAATCCTATTTATGTTTGCTCATAGATAGGTTTCATTAAACAATTATTGAATGATTATAATCAGTTGTATATAGGATGAGAAGGAATCACGCAGCTTTCTAAATGTTGTTACATTCCTTGTTACTGTCTATACTATTTAGGGCTGCTAGAACTTGTGAACTAACAACATCTGTATACTGCATGATTCCCATGCATAAATCACTATTCCAAATCATTTATTGAGTGAGCCATCTTGTACATAACTTTTATCTCTTTGAACTGGTTTTGTTTAAGTGATGTCAATCACATTGAATATATGTTTTTCAGGATGTGGATTGTGCCTATACTAGCAAGGTGGAACTGGAGGTGAAAGTGGATTCCCTAAGACAGGAGCAAGACTTCCACAGATGTGTCTATGATACAGTAAGCAAGCATATGTAGGCCTAAATCAAATAGTTGGTCTCAACTAAAGTACGCCACCTGAATCAATAGGGATTTGCAAATTCAACATGTTTGCAGTTTCAGTGAATTCAGTGAGTGTTTACTAGTGGAAGTTAACATTTGCATTTAAGTCATGGTTTATTCTTGCTTCCTCTTTTTGGTTCGAAAAATGTGTATTCCTTCATGACGGGATTGGTCTGGATCTAGGATCACATGATTCTTTAGTATGATTCTATGTTTTAAATAAATTTAAAAAAACAAGATGGCACCCCTCCCCTTTCCAAATGGTTAAAATATCTTGAAACAATGTATTGACAGGAACTGGAAAGCTTAGCAACAGCGAGTGATACCAATGTTGTTGTATCTATGGACAACAGTCGCGACTTGGACATGGAGGGCATCATTGAATCAGTGAGGTGCCAGTATGAAGAGATTGCCCAGAGGAGCAAGGATGAGGTCAATGCCCTGTATGAAACCAAGGTAAATGTAACATAGGCAGACAAAATTTGATTGGCATTGTTTGCCATTGAAATTGCTTCACTGGTGTGATGTGCTATTCTACTAGATCCATTAACAAGAACCAGGTGCAAAATATATCCTTATAGAAAGACTTTAAAGCATGACAATTTGTTTGAGATTATATTTTATCTGTTACATTTATTTCCTATCTTTCCCTTAAAAAAATCAAGGTGATGTATGTCACTCTGCCCCACATCCTACATAAACCGCAAAACAACCCTATTCAAGGGTCAACAGCCTGAGAAATGGCAATTGGCCAAAGTTCCCAAGTTCCATGGCTTACAAGCATCTTGAACCTGAATCTATCTTGCCCAGTTCTGGCTACTACATCACATTGCCTCAGAAATTAATAGAAGCCAGATTTTTAAATGTAGAAATCTGTTTTTCTAATCCAGTGTCACCTATTGTGCAAATTAGATGATGCAGCTATTGTTGAGGAAGATAGTCATTTTGCAGTTTCTGTTAATAAGTGATGTAAATCATTGATGTCCTGCTGTTCATTTGGCCTTTGGCCCCTTCAAACTCTCTCAGTTTCGAATTTCTAAAGGGTAGACTGCTTCTCCCAGGAGTGTCCAGGAGCAGCAATTTACCTTTTCAACAAATTGTATCTCTCTCTCTTGCCCCAAGTACTTAACATACACACACAAACTCACATGAATTGTGCATGCTCTAGGGAGTCCCAGGGCAGAAAATGAGCTAGCAGACCTCCTGCAATTGCCCAGCCATGAGCTAAATCTACATTCTGTCTTTTTCTTCAATTAAGTAAGTGAATCCCAGTTGCAAATGTAAATAAATAACCCGTCTTTACTACATTTTAGTATAAAGAGCTACAGACCACCTGGGGCCATCATTGCAACAACCTGAGTAGCAGCCGCCATGAAATCCAGGAATTGACCCGCCTGATCCAGAGATACAAGGCTGATGTGGAAAATGCCAAAAAACAGGTGAGGTGCCATGGCTGGAAGATGAAGACAAGGAGAATACATTTGTTCTTATGGTTTTGTGTGGGGGGTGTGGGGAGTAGGGCATCATTCAGAATGAAAAGGAACAATTCGATATATTGTATATGTGTGTGAGAGTGTATATATATATATATATGTGTGTGTGTTTGTGTGTGTGCGTGTGCGCGCGCTTGTGTAATTTATTAATTTGTAAATCCGATTTTCAAGTTTAAAGTTTGAGGCATCGAGTAAAATCCATTATGGAGTAAAATCCATCTTCTGGTCTATGTTCCATGTACAACAGTACTCAAGGGCAGCTTTCTGTACAGATTTCCAGGGTGAGCACTATTATGTATGTCATGTTAGTGAGACAGTAGTGGTTTTTCACCTACACTTCAAAGGAACTATCGGTTGGCTTCAGTGCCTTAGATAGCTCTTACAAAGTACAAACAAAAATCCAGTATGGATTCACAAGCCACCAGTTCTACCACCAGGAGAGGAGAAGAATATACTATGAGGACTTAAAAACTGTTTAGAGAGGACCATATTTTGTCACACACACACACACACACACACACACACGTCTTGCTGAGTAATATTAAAAAAAGAATCTATAGAAATTTCATTCTGTATAAGTGTTTTAAAAGAGAAATCAGATATAGGAATGAGTTTACAAATATTTCCATTTTCTTCTGCTGCACCTGTCCCCATAACTAGCATTTTTCATTGTAACTTGCATTTGTGCTATCTCTCTCCTTGGTTTGTCTCCCAACAAACTTCCTCCTCTACTGACTGCGGCTCCTTCTATTATCTCTCATTATTGCTTCTGAGCTTACCTCTGTTTCATCTCACTCTGCCCAGTTCTTTTCTCTTTGCATAGGGGGCACTTCCAGCACTTTTGTTCAAGTAAGACAATACTCAGTAGCAAACTTTGAGATATGAAAATCTTTTAAAAATCTTTTTTATTTAAATTTGCAAATTTATTAAAAAGAACAACAAAAAAATCCACACACACAGACACAAACACACACATAAACATATACATTTCCAAACAATATTTCCTAGCATCTGACTATGCCATTCCCTCCTCCTGCTCAGTGACTTCCTGTCCTTTGGGTTAAAAACAATCATATACAATTATGTCCTTCCTTCCTAGTGAAATATTTTTCCATTCTTCTAGCATAATATTTAAAAACTCCATGCAAAAAAATCCTAACAAATAGAAATGAAACTATGAAGCTTTCTATACACATTTCTATTAAAAAACTATAAATCCTTTATACCACTGCATTTTCAGCTATCACATATGGAGAAGTGACAATTTTCTTCTCTAGGTGCCAAGGAATGACATCGTGCTTGCACCCACTATCTGTAATTGTTTATATCTTTCTTTCAAACTTGCTAGGAGCCAGCAGTTAATGACTGGGGACTGCCACATTGAGTTAACATGTCCCAGTGCATGAAATGAGCTTGAAATCTATGGGTGTATCTATGCTACAGAATTAATGCAGTTTGATGCCACTTTAAATCCCAATGCTACGGAATTTACAAGGCCTTCAGCCTTCTCTGCCAAAGAGTGCTGGTGCCTCACCAAACTACAAATCTCAGAATCCTGTTGGTGTTAAAATGCTACCAAATCCTATATTAGGGTAATGGATAGCTAAAACACTTTACATTTTGTTTTCGTTTCACGATCAAGTGAGGACCTATTTATTTCTGCAGGCTTCTGAGGTCTGACTGCTCACGGAAATGGGCTTTTCATGTGTGCTGCTCTTAATATTTGTTGTTTTTCTTTTAAATGATAGTTTTATTATACACTTTATGCATATTTTTAAACCTTTGAATTGTATAAAATTGCTTTGACTGTATCTGTTTCAATTTTGGTAAGCCATCTTGGATCCCAGACTGGGGAAAATGTATGATCACCACCACTACCACCACCACCTGTTGATGCTACCTAGTTGATTGTGTGATTTATGCTGTTAACATCACAAGAATCACATGATGCATTAGCTATCTTGCTTGATTTTTGAATCAGACTTTTTCAGCTCAACTCCCACAACTTGCCAACATGGGCAAGTTGTAGAGCAATACAGCTGGATGGGAAGGCTGACCTAGACTGTGCCAAAAAGCAGCGTCTGGGTGCATCTCCTCTTTATGTGTTGTTAGTTGTTTAATTTGATTAAGGAAGATTCTCACCCAGCAACTCAGCTTTTAAATGATGTGTCTTTCCAAGGTTGAGGGGCTGCAGGTTGCTGTTGCTGACCATGAGCAGCAGGGTGATTGCACCCTGAAGGATGCCAAGGAAAAATTGGCAGAGGTCGAAAAGGCCTTGCAGTCAACTAAGGATGAATTGGCTCGTTTGCTGAGAGACTACCAAGAACTGCTGAATGTCAAGCTTGCCTTGGATATTGAGATTGCAATGTACAAGTCACTCCTGGAAGGAGAAGAGAGCAGGTGAGAGGGGAAAAATACTCATGCAAACATAGCTATTTTTCTTCCTGGAATGTCATCTGATGTTGGAATGTTAGTAACATGTATAATTTTTAAAAAATGCTAAATTCATTAACTTAAAATCCAGTAAGAACTACTATATCATTCTGAAAATGTATGGCTATCTTAGCTATTTACATGCAAACAAGTCTTCTTGCACCTTTGAGCTTCAGCACTTTAATTGATCCAACGAACCATCTAGCGTTTGAAGTTAAGTCCTCCATGACGCACTTTATTTAGCACTTTAAAGCTGAGTAAGAAAGCCATTGCACTCTAGTTAATTATACCATCTTGAACGATCATCTGCACTTTAAGAACCTTAGGAAAACTCCTCCGACAGCGCTTAACAGCTACCACTCATGACATTGCCCTGGCAATTGTTAATTTTGTTGTTGATTGTTTATGGTGGAGAGTGGGAACGGAATAGATCTGTAAGATCTGAGTTTAACAAAGCAGGAGTGGAAAGTGGATGGAAGGTAGGACTATGGCAATCTGAAGCCACAACATATCATATAGTTAATAATGAATTGTTTGTTGATACTGTGGCCGTTCAATGCGTCATGGAGGAGGGAGAGGGTTCCGCTAACCGGGGAGCCCCCATAGAAGTCGTGGTGGGGAGGGGGAGATACGGGAAAGGGAGACCTTTAATTCGACCTAGGGAACGGGGGCGGGGAACAACGTTAGTAATTCCAAAGCGGTCTCCTGATATGACAAGTTGGTGTAACCAGGATGGCGGTCCCTCCGGATTGAAAGTGGTGCTGTTGAACGCCAGATCTGTCAACGGTAAAACAACTTTCATCCAGGATTTAATCCTGGATGAATGGGCAGATCTGGCGTGCATCACAGAGACCTGGTTGGACGAAGCGGGAGGTGTAAATTTAACCCAGCTTTGCCCACCAGGCTTCTCTGTGCAGCACCAACCGAGATCCGGAGGGCGGGGAGGCGGGGTTGCAGTGGTCTATAGAGATTCCATTCTTCTGACCAGGGCCCCATCCCGCAGTCAACAAATTTTGAATGCGTCCACCTGAGGGTGGGTGACCGGGACAGATTAGGGATTCTGTTAGTGTACCGTCCACCTCGCTGCACTACAGTCTCCCTGACTGAGCTAGCGGGGGTGGTCTCGGACCTGGCGTTGGAGTCCCAACGGCTGCTTGTGCTGGGGGACTTCAATGTCCATGCCGAGACCGCCTTATCGGGAGCGGCTCAGGACTTCATGTCTACCATGGCAACCATGGGGCTGTCCCAACAGGTATCTGGCCCCACCCACAGTGCTGGACATACATTGGACTTGGTTTTCTGTCAGGGATGGGAGGAAGGTGGCGGTGTTGAGGAGTTACCATCTCTCCGTTGCCATGGACCGACCACCACCTGGTCAGCTTTAGACTCACTGCACCCCAACCTCCGCAGAGGTGGAGGACCCATTAAATTGGTCCGCCCCAGGAGGCTTATGGATCCGGATGGATTCCTGATGGCTCTTGGGGAATTTCCCGCCACCTCGGTTGGTGATCCTGTTGATGCTCTGGTCGCTCTCTGGAATGGGGAGATGACTAGGGCAATAGACACGATCGCTCCAGAACGTCCCCTCTCAAGTAGCCGAGCTAAACCAGCTCCTTGGTTCACCGAGGAGCTGGCAGCGTTGAAGCGAAAGAAGAGGGAACTAGAGAGCGTGTGGCGTTCGGATCCGAGCGAGCCAAATCGAACACGGTTTGTGTCCTTTTTAAGGGCATATGCCGCGGCAATAAAGGCCGCAAAGAAAACTTTCTTTGCGGCCACTATTGCGTCTGCAAAAAACCGTCCGGCTGAACTGTTCCGAGTTGTCAGAGGCTTATTAAAACCCTCCACTCAGGACGGGTGCCCTGAGGACTCGGCAGCTCGCTGTGAAGCTTTTGCTCGGTTCTTCGCAGACAAAGTCGCTTTGATCCGCTCTGGACTGGACACCATATTAACGGCAGTATCTGAGGATGTAACACGAGCATCTGCTTGTCCGGTTTTGATGGATTCATTTCAATTGGTTCAATCCGAGGATGTGGACAAGGTGCTTGGAGGAATGAGAGCTACCACATGCATCCTAGACCCCTGCCCATCCTGGCTTCTAAAAGAGGCCAGAGGGGGATTGGCCGAGTGGGTGAAGGTGGTGGTTAATGCCTCCCTTCGGGAAGGCAAAATTCCAGCCAGCTTAAAGCAAGCTGTTATAAAAACCGCTGTTGAAGAAACCATCACTGGACCCCACTCAATTCGTCAACTATCGGCCTGTTTCCAATCTACCCTTTTTGGGCAAAGTGCTAGAACGTGTGGTGGCCTCACAACTCCCGGTATTCTTGGTAGACACGGATTATCTGGATCCGGCACAGTCTGGCTTTAGGCCGGGACATGGTACTGAGACAGCCTTGGTCGCCTTAGTGGATGATCTGCGTCGGGAGCTCGACAGGGGGAGTGTGTCCCTGTTGGTGCTGCTCGACCTCTCAGCGGCCTTCGATACCGTCGACCACGGTATCCTTCTGGGACGCCTCGCGGGGATGGGTCTTGGAGGTACTGTTCTGCAGTGGCTCCTCATTCCTCGAGGGTCGGTCTCAGAAGGTGTTACTGGGAGACTCCTGTTCAACCCCACAACCTTTGTCTTGTGGGGTTCCTCAGGGTTCAATACTGTCTCCCATGTTGTTTAACATCTACATGAAGCCGCTGGGCGAGATCATCCGGAGTTTCGGAGTGAGATGTCATCTGTACGCAGATGATGTCCAGCTCTGTCACTCCTTTCCACCTGCTACTAAGGAGGCTGTCGAGGTCCTGAACCGGTGCTTGGCCGCTGTGACGGTCTGGATGGGGGCGAACAAATTGAAATTGAATCCAGACAAGACAGAGGTACTCCTGGTTAGTCGTAAGGCCGAACAGGGTATAGGATTACAGCCTGTGTTGGACGGGGGTCGCACTCCCCCTGAAGACACAGGTTCGCAGTTTGGGTGTGATCCTGGACTCATCGCTGAGCCTGGAACCCCAGGTTTCGGCGGTGACCAGGGGAGCATTCGCACAATTAAAACTTGTGCGCCAACTGCGACCGTACCTTGGGAAGTCCGACTTAGCCACGGTAGTCCACGCTCTGGTTACATCACGCCTTGATTACTGCAACGCTCTCTACGTGGGGTTGCCTTTGAAGACAGCCCGGAAGCTCCAACTAGTCCAACGGGCGGCAGCCATGGTACTAACAGGAGCGGGGCGCTGGGAGCACACAACTCCTCTGCTGCACCAGCTCCACTGGCTGCCGATATGCTACCAGGGCTCAATTCAAAGTGCTGGTTTTGGCCTTTAAAGCCCTAAACGGTTCTGGCCCAACTTATCTATCCGAACGTATCTCAGCCTATCAGCCCACCAGGACCCTAAGATCTTCTGGAGAGTCCCTGCTCTCTATCCCACCGGCTTCCCAAGTGCGGCTGGTGGGAACGAGAGACAGGGCCTTTTCTGTGGTGGCCCCTCGGCTTTGGAACACCCTCCCTATAGAGATACGATCAGCCTCTTCGCTGATGGTGTTTCGGAAGAGATTAAAAACATGGTTGTGTAAACAAGCATTCGGTTAGTTTGTTATCACCGAATTTTATGGACTAAGGACTGGTTAATTATGGATGACGAATTCTGGACTGTGATTTTAGTGACGAGATACATGGTATTATTATTGGTGGCCCAATAATTTGTATTGTCTATGTGTTGTTGTTTTAAATTGTATATTGTTTTTAATTGTTGTAAACCGCAATGAGTCGCCGACTTAGGCTGAGATATTAGCGGTATACAAGTGTATTAAATAAATAAATAAATTGAAGACATAGGGGGCATCTATCCTGTAAAATTAATGCAGTTTGATTGCTACAGCTCAATGCTATGAAATCATGGAAGCTGTCATTTTACGTTGGTCTTTTGTCTTCTCTACCTTACCAACTACAAATACTAAGGCATCCAGGCTAATTAAAGTGTTGTCACACAGCATTCATTCCACAGTGTAGATGCACCCTTCTTCTTCCTCAGATGCATGAGGTAAACAAGTGCTTAGGAGCTCAATGTTGTGAGGAGACTGCCTAATTATTTATGAACTCTAAAATGTAGCAAACAAAGATATAAAATTTGCACTCCGTAAGTTTAAATTCAAGTCTTGCCTTTAAATGCAACAGAGCCTCTCATAAATACAAATACATGTGGTTGTTGGATGTCATTATTGTTATGCCCATCCCTCCTAAGCTTTCTGGGGTCCATGGAAGGCTTCTTGAAATAATAACAAATATATCTTATCATTACTCCACAGGATATGCAATTCTACACCTGTGAACATATGTAAGTATCCCATGGGAAAAATGTCAAAAGCCTAGGCTCTAAGTATGTGTGTGTGTCTGCGACTGTAATAACATTTTTTTCCTTTTCTTTTGCTATAGCTGTGACAGGTTTCTCCAACATCTCTATAGCTGGTGGAGGTCATGGTAGTGGTGCTGGATTTGGAAGAAGGTACATTAGCGGCCCTGGTGGGAGAAGAAGACATGTCAGCAGTAATGCAAGATTCACCTCAAGAAGTGTACATCCTACCCCCAAAACTGGATTCAGCTCCAGGAGTGGAGGGAATCTCCCCCGATGCACAATGAGCTCTGGCTTTGGCGAATGCACTGCCAGCCCTGTGGTGCCAAGTGGGGAGCCGAGGGATTTTGCCCCACTGAAATTAGGAAGCACCGCAAGTGGAGCTTCTAGTTCTAGGAGCAGACGGTCTCGCAACAGGAGTGGGAGTTGCAGCTCTGGCAGGGTACGCATGTCACCAAATGGTGGGGTTTCTAGCATAGGGAATGTTACTGTAAGTAGCAGCTACACTACTCATGGCACAACTACTAATACAGGAGACGAATACAGCTCTCGGTACTAGAGCAATGTCTAAACGGCTTCTCCCCTTTGTTTTTTGGGGAAAATTTCAGTAAATTTCTTCAGGGCTAAAAGAAATTTTCCAGTTTTATATATTTCCCTATCCCCCTTCCCCTCTTTTGTTGCTAGTGAAGAGCTAACAGGAAAAAAAAGAAAAGAAACAATATTGTTGCTCTCCACTGTGCTCATTCCATGGCATTCTGTTGGGTCAAGGGTGGGGGGGGGGGGCATGGCAGCTTATCATACAAAGTATGACTCCAAATGGTTGGAGGGGAATCTGCAATTTTCTCCTCTTTTTCTAGAAAGGGATGGGCATGAGTAGAGGGCCTATCAGTCCCTCTCCCGGATTTTAACTATTTCCCAGATTTATATCATCACCACCTACCCTTATTTCCAAATTGCTGATCCCCCCTCCGAATACATTATAAGCTTAAAATGCCCCCCCCCCCCCAGTATCCAGGGACTCGGTACTCCTTTATGGGAATCTTTTTCATGCAAATAGGGATGTCTAGGAGAAACAACAAAGCATACAATTCCCACCCTTATTCTAGGAGTGTGAGGGGAAAATATACAAAAATGTCAAGGTGAAAAGGGTACCTGAGAAAATTTTGATCATTAACTCTTGTAAGTCAGTCTGAGTCCTATGGTGCCTACGTACCTACCCCACCTTGGGACTTAGTATGTCTTACAAGATGTACACAATAGTTTACTTTAGAGTACAGGTGGCACTGTTCTACCATTACAAAAGTTCAGGGTTTGCTGATTTGGGAAGGTATGTATTTCATCTACTTGCTTCCAGAAACAAGGCAATTTATGCCTCAAGCTGATTAGTGCAAAAAGTTAGCAATAAAGTCATTCTCCATTCAGGGGTTTCCTCAATCATATAACTCCAGTTCTATAATAAGGCTAGTACATGATGTACTCCCTGCCTGAATTTTGTTGATAGTACCACAGTTGCTGGTTTCATTGCCAGTCCTACTCCTAATGTGTGCCAGCAAAGGAGAGGACAACCAACACATTTATTTCAACCAGCAGTAGCTAGTAGCTTCCATATCTGTGTGACAGTGAATCTATTTTGGATTTTAGTCAGAACTTTTCTAAGTTATCTAAGGTGCTGGACAGCATTCACTATCTTGGATGGCTCAACTGAAGTTTAGACTAAACCCAGAGCAAATTCACTGTCCGACTGGATGGATGTCATAAGCCTGGTTCCATATTCTCTCATGCCACAAGTCTGGAACACTCCAAGTAGGCTTAAGGCATTGGAGAGTTTTCATTTCTTAAACATTCTTTTTTAAACAAGGAGCCCCCGGTGCTGCAGTGGGTTAAACCCCTGTGCCGGCAGGACTAAAGACCGATAGGTCGCAGGTTCGAATCCGGGGAGAGGCGGATGAGCTCCCTCTATCAGCTCCAGCTCCTCATGCGGGGACATGAAAGAAGCCTCCCACAAGGATGATTTAAAAAATCAATTTATCCAGGCATCCCCTGGGCAACGTCCTTGCAGACGGCCAATTCTCTAACACCAGAAGCGACTTGCAGTTTCTCAAGTCGCTCCTGACACGGCATTTTTTTTTAAAACAGACATGCACGCACACACATACACATACATTATTATGGTCCAGAATACTTGATGGATAGACATCAAAACAGATATGTGAGTTGACCTCCAAGTTCTGAATGTTACCATCAAGATATGAGAGCTGCCAAGAATGGCATAATCATACAGCTGGATGATGGTGTGGGAAAATTTCCCAAGGAAATGCCATTTTGGACAACATCGCCATTTGATAATATATACATGTATTATTCCTTTGCCTATCTACTGCTTATCAAACATGTCTCTCTTTCTACTCCATATTACAATGAGACAATAGCTGGAAACAGGTTGAGAAGTTATGGATGTGTAATTAAGAGCTACATACTCATAACTCTTGTATTCATGATCCCTACATAGTGCTTAGGCTAGGGGATTCATTGGGACAGCATGTGTAATCTGGCATGAAAGGCTATTACAACAGGGTTTCTGCCTCTGCCTGTCTCACTAGAGATAGGAAGAGGCATGACTATCAGCTCCTTCCTGAATGATAGGGGAAGAGACCTTCATTGCCCAGTAACAGAAGTGAAGATCAGGGGGATTGGGATTCATTATGTAGCACCATAACAGAAAGCTGTTTTTTTTCTGTTGCTAAATTAACCAGTTAGCAAGGCTAAGAGAAGAACCCACATCTGTGTTTTTTGAACTTGTGGGAATATTGATAGAAGTGTGGTAGTTTTGTAGTAGACATTCGGAAAATAAAACTATAAAAATCCTGGTGTCTGTACTTTGTTGAATTAGAGCTCAGTCTTTCCTCCTTATACAACAATGTTATAAGGCAAACATGTCCAGTATGAAAGGAAGTTATTTTTAATAATTGACATAGTTCTGCCAGGTATTTAACAATGGAAGAAAGCCTCAAGTCAAAATATTTTTTTCTTTAGATGTCTAAAGAAAAAAAGAGTATGATGTGGCATCAGGGATTTGTCCCTTCCTAGTATCTGCTTGGATGCAGTCCTGTTTTTGTGTTTTTCTGATTGTCTCATACTGGCACATTTTTTGGTAGATCGTTATGAAATTATCCTTGGAATTTGGGAACAAACATGGCACAATCTCATTTCTAGAGTGCTATAAATGTATATGAGAAATCTCCTACTTTTTTAAAAAAAAAGTCTGGCCTTCTAAAACTTTCTTGATATTACCATTAAATACTTTGCTTGAATATTGCTACACACAGACTCTGCAGACTCATGAAGTCACCTTCCTGAAGGGGCTCCATGATCACATAAACATTGACACCAATGGACCTTCACTTCTGACAGTTGGTCCTCACTCTTGACTTTTGACAAGCTCAGGATTGGCCTGGGTTTAAATGTAATTATTTATTTGATTCATTTATATTCTCAATTTTACACAAGATGAAACTCAAGAAAACTAATATATTTTGAAACAATGCACATTACATCCATACAAAGTCATTAATAATGTATAAAAATAAGAACTATTTCAAAAGCAATTAAGACATTTATAAAGTGACAAGGTCAAACTTACAAGCTTTAAAATTCATTATAAATCTTTAAAAGAGCACAGTGCAGCACTAAAACCCCACTATAGTGAGTTTTTAAAGGCCCAACAGCAGGACCTTTCTAGAAGAACTTGGAGCTCTAAGATGTTCATAAAGGGAGGAACAGTCCTTCATATGTTAAAACTAGCACTTTGAATTGTGATCTGAAATAGACCAACAGCCAGTGGAATCATTGCTAAAATGGGAATTCACACACATAGCCTTTATTGGCATACAACAAAATAACAACACAGGCACATACAGCAAGAGGAAGTCACAGATTAAAAGAGAAGCATAATTAAGAGTTACTAATCTCAAGAATAAAATTTGTAACAGTCTTACAAAAGAAGGCATCAGAGCTGTTCAGAAGCTATGGAAGTTTGTAACACCCTTGCCATTGAGAACATTGTAAAAAAATGAAATTCCTGTATGTCATCCATATATTGTCATATTTTGGGCAAACAAAGAAGGAATGGTGAAGTATTTCAACAGAGACCGAGTCACAAGAACAAACCATTTTTGGAATGGATTAATGGAATTGTGTGTTACCTGTAGCCACCCCTATTATGCAACCAAAGGGAGTCTCATGTAGAGTGCAATAAATAATCCAAATGGGATGTAATCAAGGCATATACCACTGTGAGCACAACCAGGAAAATGAGAAGGGATGTGTTGTGTCTATTGAACAATTTCATTTGCTTGAACTTGCCAAGTTGGCATAATATTTAATACAGGAATGTTGCAGTCTCTTGGGTTGCCTCCAAAGCTGTCTTCATAATTGAAATCTAAAGTATATAGTGTATCTGTAGAAACTGAGGATCCTTCCCTAAAACCTAGGAGGAACTGGGTTAAAAATAGCCCACTTCCTCCTGGGTTTCAGTCACCACCCCCAACCTAAACCCTTGAGGGGTGGCTATATGCCATCTCGGGTCAACCAATGGTTGACCCGGGATGGCATCCAGCCCCACTGCAGCTCACCTCCAGCCCTCTATTTCCACCCCCAAAAGTTATTGGAGGGGCCTGCTGACAGCACAGACCCCTCTGCATAGCACTTTTTTGTGTCATGTCAGGAATGACTTGAGAAACTCCAAATTGCTTCTGGTGTGAGAGAATTGGCTGTCTGCAAGGATGTTGCCCAGAGGATGCCTGGATGTTTCGATGTTTTATCATCCTTGTGGGAGGCTTCTCTCATATTCCTTTATGAGGAGCTGGAGCTGATAGAAGGAGCTCATCCACGCTCTCCCCGGATTTGAACCTGCGACCTGTTAGTCTTCAGTCCTTCTGGCACAGGGGTTTAACCCATTGCACCACTGTGGGCTCCATTGCATAGCACTGTTATAGTGTGAAAATGATGTTGGAAGATGAGATGGAGGAGGGAAATCTCCCCCCCCCCCGACATCTTCTAATGCGCCATTTTCATGCCTTGGGAGTACTTTGCAGAGGGGGCTGTGATGCTGGCAGCCCTCTCCTGTAAGCTTTATTTGTGGGAAATGGGGGGCTGGAGGGGAGAGGGCTGGCATCCTCCTGCACCTTCAGGCTCCAAGTACCTGAAGAACCGGGATGGCTGTGGGGATTGAGCAATCCCCACAGGTCTGAAACCTGGAAAGATCCATACCTTAGCTGAAGGTCTAAGTTTTCTCTGTATTAATTTGCTTTTACTTGAGCCATCGTTTGGATGCCTCAGGTAAATGCTAGACAGGTCCCAAGTTTTAGGCCTGTCTGGAAGGGCACTGAAACAACAAATCATCATACTTTTTGCTTGAGATTTTATCCTACTTCTCCCCAGGAACTGTGTGACCAGCTCTGAATAGAAAACAGCACATATTAGATCACTGGTTTTCTCTATAAGGTTTAGTAATAGCTAATATTATACAGGTTACATCTTCCTTATCCAAAATGCTTTGGAGTTATAAAAATTGTCATTCTATCACGTTGATGGGAGAGAGGGGAGGGTAAAGACTCTTGTGTTCTTCTGCTATACTTACACTAATGCCTTGTAAAAAGCAAATGTCAAGGAAGGAAATGTCCAAATGTATCCAGGTGCTGGGAGCTCAAGGAATGTTGCAAAATACCTTGTTTCCTGGTGTCTATCTGTTGATTGGGTGGAAGGAAAGCATGAGATAGACTGGCCAGGCTACTGGAGTAGAAAAGTTTGTTCTTAATGCCCCAGACCTAATGGGTTAACAATATATATATTTTGCCTGAATATTAGGAGAAAATGAAATGGTAAAAGGAAATGCCTGGAGGGGTGGGGGACATTTCCTCACTGGATGTCTTCAATTAAAGTTTGAAAAGCCACCTATAGGGAATGCTCTAGCTCTGGACATTGTGCATTAACTAGGGCATGAAACCAGACAGTCTACTCCAGGGGTTCTCAAACCTTTTCAGCTGTTGAGCGCTTTTTGAAGCAAAAGTCCCTCATGGAGCCTCAAGAAATGTGTATATATTATATATTTTATTATATATAATGTATATGTCAGGCATGGGCAAACTTTTTGACCAATATAAACTTAACTGTATTTCAGCAGAAGACCCCAGGGGTAATCCAGTCCAACCCTCTTCTGCCATGCAGGGAAAGCACAATAAAAAAACCCCAACAGATGGCCAATCAGCCTTTGTAATCATAATCATAATAGGAGCAACTCCAGGGGCCATCCAGTCCAACCCCCTTCTGCCATGCAGGAAAAGCACAATCAAAGCATCCTCAGAGTGGTGGGTAGGAAATAGGGTTTTGGAAGCAAGCAAGGTGAGGGGGAAAAGATCTTGGTGGTGAGGCTTTTGGTGACAAGGAGGCAGAGAGGAAAAGGCTTTTGGGGACAAGAGAGGCAAGTTGAAAAAGCTTTTGGTGATGAGGGAGGTGTGGAAAGGAGAAGGAACAGGAAAGATGAGGGAAAGCCTGGAGGGGGAGGGGAAGGGGAGAAGGGGAGGAGGGAACCACAGAGCTTCTCAGTAGGTTTTATGGAGTCCCAAGGGAGCCCACACTTTGAGAACCACTGATCTACTCTATGCCTCCAGCTCAGTGATTCTGTTGGAGAGATTAGGATGATGTTGAAATAATCGAATATGTGTATCTGATATGTGAGATATTATTATATCAACAAACAAACAAAACAAATAAAAGTCAGCCATGCTGGGGAAATAATAGAATAGTCATTGACTGTCACCACCTTGTGGGAAAGTGGGGACATGCAGTGACAATTTTGTATAAAGATTACAACTGAAATTGTCCTGGAAGTAAAAATCTCAAAAACATTTTTCTTTTCCTTGTCTTTGCTTGCAAAGCTGTGGAAGTGAACTTATAACCTGATGCCCACACAGGGGCAATATGATGCCTACCGAGTCCCTAGTGATGCAATCAGAAAGAGGCTAGGACTGAAAGGCCTTCTTTTTGCTGTCACATCAAAAAATCAAACCCTTCCCTTTTCCAAACTTAACAAGGAAAGGGGTAGAAATATAGATAATTCCCAGCAGTTACAGGCCCATTGATACTTGGAAGGAGGGAAGCTATGTTTTAAAGAGAAATAGAAAGAAGGGGATAGATCGTACTGTCAAGACAAACGATGTGCTTACTTTTTAAAAATCAAAGGTGTCATCAAAACAGAATAGCAGAAGGAAAGTTGCATTAAAAACAGTTACTGATATCTGCACTATAATTACCCTTTAGAAAGGCAGTGACAGCATTGACAGGCACCTTTATTCCCCAGAGAGTGCAGGAGGACCAAGTGAAGCACATGGTGCTCCCACTAAGCCTTTGTGGCTGTGAGGAGACTATAGACCTCATCACGCTACAGAATGGATTCACTTTAAATCTGGTTGCTGCCTCCTGCAGAATTCTGGGGTTTGTAGCTTAGGGAAAAGCCTTTAAACCATTCAGCCAGAGAGGTCCTCAGCCTCACTAAACTACAAACCCCAGAATTTTGCAGGAGGCAGCAACCGGATTTGACGTGGAACCATACTCTAGTATGATAAGGCATTTCATGGGGAGTCATGTGGGCATCAGAGCCAATGAAACCGATGGGGTCTTGGACTCCATTGGTTCATTCAAAGGTCAGCAAACACTATAAAGTGCTGGACCCAAGGGAAAGAAGCAGCCAGTCTTGGTTTCTGCCCACCCACCTCTCTCTGCATATCCCTTGTCACATCATGGGGTTTAGCAGGAAACATTGGTCTTGGATTCTAATAGTGATGCCAGTGCAGTTGGGATTTGACAA